GCTTTCTAAGAAAATACCTTAATACATCTCTATTCTAATTCTACTGTGTTCTTTTGTTTTGTTTTGCTCTTTGCTTATTGAATATGAGACCTCTGAAATGTCACTTGGCTTGTTTTCTTCTTTATATCACCAAATTCACCAGAGTCTTCATCTCTAAGAATCCTCAAACAACTTCCGTTAGCAATACAGGAGATGGAGTCTGTGTTCATAGCAACACTTCAGTATGTCAAATCACAGCTGTAAAAGTACTTTTGTTCCTGAAATCCTTCCTAAATCAGTGTCGGCGGGGGGAAGCATTGACTTTTCTCTCATTGCTTAGCCGTTACAGTGAATGAGGAAAGACTCCAGGTCTGGTTGATCTGACTCTAGGTCATTTCCATGTGGATGTTATTGAATAGCAGAGAGGCTCCAGGGCGTGGGTCTCATTTTGTCACGAAATTTTTTACAAGAGTGGTTACTCCTGGCTACCTCTATATTCTCCACTGTTGAAGCTTACTTTTTTAATTCAACTGCAAGTGCTTTAAAGGTCACTAAGTACCTCTCGACTGACATTTTCAGTCATTGTGCTACTTCACCTTTCCACAGAATTTGACACTGTGACTACCCGCTGCTTTGTGAAATGTTTTTGTTCTCTTAGGTCACCTAATCCTTTTTGATTGCCCTACCATCTGTCTGATAAACTAGTCGCATTTCTCTAGCTGTACACACTCTTACCAAGTGCATCCATTTGCCACCAATGTACCACCAACTGCATGGCCTAAGCAATAGAATTTTTTCCCTCTAAGCTGGAAGTACCCAGTGAGGATATCAAGCATGGCGGCTCCTTTTGAGGGCTGCAGGTAGGACTGGATCTGTTGCAAGTCTTTTTCCTTAGCTAGTGAACGCCATCTTGTCTTCCCTCCATATATGGTTCTCTCTGCAAATTTCCACTTCTTGAATTAGGACCCACCCTAAGGATCTCATGTTAATTTGATTATCTCTGTAGAGACTCTGCTTCCAAGTATGGTAACTTTCTGGGGTCCTGGAGTTTAGAATTTCAACATATGAATGGGGAGGCAATCATTTAACCTTTCATTCACAGTCCTTTAGAATCACCTTTTATACCATCTCAGGTGTTCAGTGTAGAATTTTGGTAAATATGCTTTGTCTTTCTGTGGACATGCCCTCTTTTCTTTTTTTTTTT